CTTATATACTTTGCATGCTTTTGTCACCTCTTCGCCTGTTTCTATTCTCAATACTCTCGTCCACAGATATTTAGGAAAAACAGTCATAACTACCAATATGTATTTGAGCCTTTATTATTTTTTAGCGTAAGGTATAAATTTCAGCTAAATCTGCCTGCCAAAGATCATCGGAAACCCTTTCAATAACAGTACGTCTACGTGTGAATTCTTACGTTGCCGCTTTGTGTAAGTCATTTACCACTTCTGCATTCTCTATTAATCTACTCAAGCTTCTTTGACAGCGTTCAAAGCTTTCTCTAAATGTTCCACAAATGGCGAAGACGTCGAAAGATGCTTTCAACGATTTGCATATAAACCTTAGAGTAGCCTTATTTATTAGCATCGCTATCATCTATGCATAAGCCACATTGGCAAGCCGTTTTCGTTTAGATTTAGTCTTGTAGGCTAGATAGTGGTGTAAGCGTTAGGGCATCCTGACTGTTCATAGGATCGGCAAACAATTACTTCAATCTTCTTGTTTTCCACGTTTATAGTATCGTCTGGTAATGGAAAAAGTTGTTTTCAACAGCCTTTCCAAATTGAGCATGGGTATGTGAACGTCCGAATTTATCCATGATGAATGTAAGAAAGAAGGCGGAAATGGGTATTTATACTAGTGACGTAAAAATCGCTGCGTAGGCTTTTGTGTATGTAGCCCTCTTCATATAACTCTTCCATAATTGATATTATATCATTTTTTACACCAGTGTTGCCTGCCATTTTTCACCCCATAAAACCTCTAACTCCCTATCAATTCATGGCACGCTATTCCAGTATTTGTATTCGATCGTCGGTCGAGTTCTTGAATAGAGTAATGCCGCTTCCCGATTTCGCACGCCCCCTATTCGCCGCTTCCTCCTCCTTCAGTAGAGGCTTTATTATAAGCGTATACTTTTTGCTCTTATTGCCACGAATCTGTTCGGTGGAGTCGTAATTGCGCCGTGCGACATGAGTTGCTATTATTATCTGCTTATAGTTACTTCTATCCTGCTTGGATACTAGCGATTCATCCGGTTCATTCATGATGATAAGTTCGTATAGCCCTGCAGTACCTTTGTACCGGATCCCGTTAATAACCAAATCTTCGTTATCTATCGTCACCTCTGTCTTGCCCATTCTCCACTTATCCGTTTCGACATTATAATGAATTCCAAAGGTGGTGTCAATTGCATTACTCGTATCTCTTATCATGCGCTCAACGTATATACGTGGTAGGTGTTTGTATTGTTCCAAAAAGTCTCGCGAACCTTGCATATCAAGTAATAAAGCAGATGATGATGATGCGATAGGAGGCTCTTCTTCTTCTTCCTCCGGTTGATGCTCTCCTATCACTGTACTCTGTAGAAATGATGGCGGCCGTCTCAATGATGGAGTAGCCGTGGGATGAAATGGCCTAACCATAGGACTAATATCAGTTGGAGGATATTTTTGAAAGTAGGGAAGTCTAGCCAGCGGACTGATCTCGGTAAGGGAAGAGGGCCTTCGTCTCACTCGCAAGTAATAAGGTATCGCAGGGGTCGTACGTTGTGGTGATGACTTGCCTTTTGCAGAAGATTGACGTTTGGGAGGTGAAGCGTTCGTAAATACTTCGTCCTCCGGCTCCTCCTTTTTCGTTACCATCTGCATCGATGGCGGTTCGATTTTCTTTACGATCTGAGATAGTGGTTGGATTAGGGGCTTGTAGGTTTGCACAAATTCTAGTTCTCTACTAAACCGATCCTCCTTAAGACGATTATACTTTTGTTGTATCGCTTTATGGGCTTGAATTATTCGTCGTTTCAATGCCATCTCCTTGTTATCCATGATGCGGATTGTCAAATGGATAGAATAGGTACACAGACAATAAAAACAGGGGAACAGGTAAACAGACCAACCTAGGTAAACAGACGAACAGGTAAACCGACGAACAGGTAAACAGACGAACAGATAAACAGACGAACAGTTAAACAGACGAACCGGTAAACAGGCGAACAGGTAAACAGGCGAACAGGTAAATAAGTAAACAGACCTGTTTATTAATAATCCGTTTATGTGAAAGCAGTTAGCTGTTAGCTGTCTATTTGCAACTGATCCATACATAAATGTTTACGGTATTATATAATGATCGAAACCTTTCCTAAAACGACCGTTTCGTACTTCGGCATCCTTATTAATCACCATAAACCCATATGGGGTCTGCCAGCTTTCAGAACACATCTCTCGAAACAGCTGCATACTTATTAGGGGGGTGACATGGTCTTCGTAAATGTGTCGCAAATTCAAATCGTCCTGTTCGAACAGAACAATTAAGTTGGCGTTGTCTCGTATAAGTTGTTTGGGAATTTTAGAGTACGTTTGGCCTAAGTAGAAGCAATCGATAGCGTTATGTCTGCCCATTGAAAAGTATGCTCTAATGTGATCCTGTTTTTCACAAGCAATGTCATCAAAAATAAAAACTGAATTAGGTTTTGCAACGCTGGGCTCCATAATATCTGTGTTATCGCTGAAGGTGAAGAAGCCTATGTCCTTCATAGGACTCAGAATTTCTCCCAAGAGCCTATACGTACCCTGATTTAGTGATTTGGAATAGACATACACATTTTTGAAGCGTAGACCATTAGATTCAGTTAGTAGACTCAGCATCGTATTCGTTTTGCCGCAATTCGACGGTCCACAAATTAGACATCTTACGCTGTTTGGAAGTAACTCTCCATGTCTTTTAGACCCCACATTTGGTGTTATAAAAGTATCAAGATTTTGAATGGGAAGTTTTTGCTCGTGCACAACTACCTTCATTTTTGATGGTTAAAATTAAACTAGGCACATTTTGGTCAATACATTTTATTTATACTAGAAAATACATTTTCAAAAAATATGAACTATAGTTTCTTCACTTCTCCAGTCAAAGGATTGTATTGAACTAGGGCGTCGTGCAAGATCAGACAATAAGCAACGGTTCCCGCCTCGAAGGCCTCCATCGATTCCATTTCCAATCTAACATCTACCGTTGAATGCTTCAGAGATTCGTTTTGTTTTGAACAATCCATTACAAAGATTGGACAACTTTTAAAATAAGAATAATCAAACAAAGCGTCTTGCTCGTCCTTGATGTAATAATCTCTACGAAAGTTTACGTAGTTTTGATATGCGGTTATATATTTGTTGGCACTAAAATCTAAATGCATCGCTTCGTACGGATAACTTTCAGAATTGAGATGAAGCTTTAGATTGCGGATATTGACGTTATCGAAATTGGTCGCTCTCGCCTCATGCGAAAACCTTTTTCCACTACGTTGAAATGCTACGATTACCCATCGAGGTTTCTCTAATTGGGTTGACGTTTTGATTGGCCATATATCCGACTGTGCCTGTTTCAAAGCGGGCAATTCGTACAGTTCCCATTGACGAAACGGCATTGTAATTATTGCATCCTTGTTAATGCGCTCATATAGCCCAATTTTGGCACTGTCGCTAACTGTCACGTGAGGAACTTTCCATTGAATTTTTGTTAATGTTATTGTTGCATCGTTCGCTGTGCCCATGTAACAATCGGCATCGCTTCTAGCACGAATCAGTACCAATTCTTGGCGCATGTTTACGATAACTTGACGATAGTCTTCCATACTTCCAAATATGTGCTTTAACGGAATGCAAACGGTGAAATGCTTCTCCTTGTTGCTCTTGACGTAGTCTACTTGAAGGGACTCATCCATGGGCGACCATCCCAAATGTTTGAGACCTTTGCTTTCAGTAGCTGTATACGATACGTATCCCTTGAGTGAGGATGTAATACCCGGATTCCTACATACATCTACTTTCTGACCCCCCAACTCGTAGCGTATTTCTTCGAAAAGAAATGCCGCAAAATTGTTCGTTAGGTTGCATGTCTTTGCGATCGCACCCTCTTCTTGAGGCTGATTCCATTCAATTTTTCCTTCTATGTATAGAAAGCTGTCGTATGTGGCAGTCACCAGGTCTTGATTTTGAATTAATATACGGATTTCACTGGAAAGCCCATAGTTCGAAGACCCTCCGTACGGAAGATAAGTATGGACATCTGACTTGATTATAGTTTCGTCAAAGTGTACGTTTTGAAAGATGTTTAACGAGTCTGCCGCCACTGCCATTTTGCACTTTCAAACCAATGGATTCCAGGAAGTATTTTTCTGTTGGGGTTAACGTGTCCTGGTCTCGACTCGCTGTAGAATAGCTGGATTTACGCTTACATCGTTTATTTATAGTGCTGCTAAGGAAGGATGGCGGTGGGCCTTGATTAATACGTAACCCCATATTCTTTTAACTCTAATCGAACTGTAAATGGCTCACTGTCCCCGAAATCTATTGGTTCACCTTTTTGATTCGTCAACTTTATGGTTATGTTGCTAATTCTGCTGATATTTACTTCCAGATATTGAGTATTGTTTGGAATTTTGTCTAAGCGGTAACCTGGTGGAACGGAGACGTCTATTTCATAAAGGACTTTAGCAGGATTTCCGTTACGATAGGATCCCGTAATGAGATTGCACTCTATGTGAATATTACTATGCTTAATTATTTGTATATCTAAAGCTGATTTATGTATAACGTTGGCTTCCAATATCTTCGATTCGAAACCGAGCATGCGCCCTATGCAGTCTCTTGGAGTGAAATCTATAGCAAATTCGCAACTAAGTTCACCCTTGACCCTAGTGGAAATGCAATATTGGACCTAGGTTGGCTAGACATTGCGTAATATTGCGAGCAATTGAAAACCAATATTGGTCCAAGATGGAATTGTGAACATTTTCCAATTTGTGGACAATATTGCAAAGCAATATTGGTTAAATATACAAAATAATTTGTATACAATATTGGCTCTGAATGGTTCCCCAATCGGCAGTCAGTATTGGCACAGACAATGCAGTCTCACTTGCATGCAATATTGTCTCCAAATAGACTTACTATCTCTCGCCAATAATTTTATGTCCAATAAAAACAGAAAGTAGATGAAATTTATTTATTGCATAAAAAAAAAGATTCTTACATGAGTGGAGCTATATAAAAATAAAAAGACTATAATTCCTGTGCATTTAATGCACCCGCGTCAACCTTGTCAGTTATTTTTGTTCTGTCTTTTCGTCCTCCTTCGCGGTCACCTGACGTAGCAAGGCAGTTTCCAATGTGTTTGTTGATTTCTTTGTCAGTCACATTGGGAAATTTGCGACGAACTGCATCTGTAAAGGAACGTAAATGTTTAAGAAAATGTTCACCTCACAACATATGTAAAGATTAATTTTAGGAGACTACTACATTTATAAACTATAGCACAAAATACCCACGTCCCACGTGTCAATCTAACAAAAGATTAATAAGCTATTAGAGCACTAAAAAGTACCGTACCTGTTAAAGCAGATGACAGCTTGAGTTTGATGAATGACCGCTTGGATTGTCGCCCATAACAAGAAAACTTCAGTGCCATTTCTTTCGAAAAAATTTCAGAATGTTGCTAACCATCTGACGTAGATGGTCACCTCCAACCAGGGACATTTGAAGTATCTAGAAAGAATGTGATCAGAGAATCATTTTATATAGTGTTTGATAATAATTATATTACCATCTCAGCTCTGATTTGCTCAGAATTCAGACTGTCATCCAGTGTCACCAAATCCTCATCAGTTTGAACTGGCAACGTAAATTTACTCACTGCCTCCGCTGTTACGGACATCGCTCCAAAATGTTTTTCCAGAATGGTGAGCATCCGAAAGTTTTCCTTGCGGAGTTCTGTAATTTCATACTTCAATGTATGGAGCTCTTTGATTATTTTAGTATTCATATCAGATGGAGCGTTACATGTCCTACCGAGAGATGGTGTGTGTTGCGTTTCCTCATGTTTATGTTTTGGGGTTATGACCTGCTTACTCTTCCTGGGGGTTGATGTCAAGCATGTCTCTTCTGTTCCACGTACACTACCTGAATAAGTTCCCAGTTTCTTTTTCGCAGCAGAAATATTACCAGACATATTACTTTTTAAAAAGGGGGTGTTTTTGGCATGTTCAAACCTTTTATTATGGGCAGTGTTCTTGAGTTTTAATGGTTCAAATTCTTCATAATCCGATTTATTGCTATTGTTACTGCCACTATGAACCTCGCATTCCTGTTCATCGTCACTTTCTCTTTCATCTGCATCATCAGTGTCGATGTTCGAAGTGTATAATGCTTGTTGCGTTATTTTTTTAACAAGCACTAAATTGGTGGCAGTTTTTATGAACCGGGCATCACATTCACTGTATTCATAGCTTGTCTTTGGAGGTTGGCATGCATCAATAAGAACAATTCTCTTTGATAGTGCACATTTGGGCCATAAATATTTGCTCTTTGTATCATCGAGAGCCCAACTTGAAGGAACGTAATCACATCCGCCATCAGACCAATAAACCACGTCCCAAGACATTCTCTGAAAAAAAAATCGATTATATGCATGACACAATAAAAATTGTAAATAAACTTAAAGGAGTGTGCTTTATGTCAAAAAGGAGACTTTCTAAATGGCACGAAATCTAGTTTTAAAACAGATTTATGGAAGCATCTATAATATACTCACACAGTTCGTTATGCAACATTCCCATTACAAGGAAATGATTGTCCATGGGGATAACAAAACATTTGCATTCTATATTCCCGACAGGTTCTTCGAACAAGAAATTGTTCAGTTCTTGTACTTTGTATACATTGATCACCTTTGATGAAACTGGTTCGGTATATGCTTCATATTGCCTCCCAAATATTCTTCCCTTGATTGTCAAAATATTATTGGTTTCTATTAATTCCACAACCTTCATAACCCTTTTATTCTTCAATAATATGAATGAATCCTTGTCACTTGTAATGTTAATTTTATAGCCATGATGATGGTTGAGTATAGTTTTATTCTCATTTACTGTATTACATCTATTTAAAGGATACTCTTCAAGAAAATTGGACTGCTCAGCTAATCTCACGCACACTTGAGCCAATGGCTTGTTTGGCGTTCTTATCATTTTCACCAATTTACCTAAGTAGCTTTCAAAAGGGAAACAACTCATTTCGTCCAGACTGTAATGTCCATCTACAGCTTCTTTGGCCATGTGGAAAATAGAATGCATATTATAAATTATAGCATCTTCGCCATAAATATACTGAACCCGAGCAGAGAATTGCTTCATTTTTTCTTTCGCAATTTCTCCTAAACCATCTCTGTAGTTTCCTGAGCATAATATCCTCATAGAAATGTGAAGGAGTAAGAAATGCTTGAATTGTTTATTCGAAATTAAATCTTCCATGATATATGGACCATAATAGTTCATAAACGTTCTGAACTCTTTAGCTTTCCAATAATCAACTTCTGTGAGAGAACGTGGTTTACGATCAAACTCACATGGTGTGCCACATCCAGAATGCGCCTTGAAGCTATTTGCCTTTTAGAAGGTGCTAATCGATGTTCTGCCGCTCCTTGGAGCCAATGGCCTAGCACACGCTTCATGACACCCAAACATGCCATGTGCATATAATCTAGGGGAAATCCAGAAACTAATCCGAAATAACTCACGTCTAAGAGAGGTGAAAGACCAGTAACATGTTCTGTCACGCGAGACCTACATTCTCGGATGAATGAATTGTCATTTCGTAATATTACATTATCTATTTCTGGGAATATCACTTTATTATTGATTCGAAACCCACGTTGAGTACATTTCTCACAACCAAAAAATCCTCCATGGCCCTTTATACACTTGATAAATGCTCTGGCAGGTGCATCGCAAATAATAGCTTTCAGGCGTATTTCATACTTTTTACCTCCGTAACTGAAACCATAAGTGTGCATGTGGTTGATTTCATCAACAAAATCTTTAAGATACTCTGTTACATGCTTTGGTTTGCCCTTGCCATTATATATAGCAATAGGAAAGGGCGAGAACTTGATACCTTTGATATATATCATTCCCAGAATTGGCCAAAAATTCAGCAATGTGCTGACATGGATTTTCGCACCGTCAATGTTACAAATCAAATCAATTTGTGTCTTATCGTATTTTTGTAATATATGGTGAAGCCCTCGACGGAACTCGTACTTCAAGTTTTGTGTAATTCCGAAGTAAACATATTCACCAGCGTCATCTTTTGCACTTAGCATATCAACTATGTTATAGTTTTTAACAACCTTAAGAAGTGTTTTTGAAGATAGTGGTAAATCAGGGTGATATTCCTTCAAAATTGGAAGTAGCATATTGATTTGAGAGTGAGATACATGAGCACGTATAGCCCAAGTTCTCAATTTATTGGATAATGAATTTGGATCTGCATAAGGATCTACTTCTTCGGGATTCTCATTACTCGCAACTTTACTATTTATTAAATCGTGACTTTCTGGATCACTTGCATTGTCGTTTGTACAGTAGTACTCAAAGGTACTTGGCTCGTTACACCCATCTGAATCATTGGTAGAACCAGATGACATTTCGATATCAGAGAGTTCAGAGTTATCGGAATTATAAGTACCGTTTTCATTCATTGAAATTTTCATCATATCTCTCCTAGTCTGTCTTGCAATTCGCATACATTTTTTGGATCTGTTACTGGATGCCATTCCGTTAAATTTTGTATCAACGTCTAAAACAAATCCAGAATTGTGAACAAACCTTTGAATATCTCATTACGTTATTCTGGTCTGGACTTGTCCGACTACAAACGGAACACAACATACGTAATGTTTCTATCGGAATCGATTGTGAATCTACGGTTGTATGTAAACATTTACATACATTGAAACTTGAGAGTTTTAAAGTAATACTGCTTCATGCGAAATTGATCGGGGAAAATATCCTGCTAACTACATGAAAATAATTGATATTCCGTGCACGAGTAGAACGATTAAAGTATTTCGAGAAAAATTGCGCAATTTTTTTCGTACGCAAGCTTTCCCTTCCTTGGCTATACCATGTGCATGCAGACAATGGACATGAATATGATCAAAGAATACTCACATCGCTGCTCAGTAGCCCAGAGACCAATTGATGTCGATGACAGCGATGGGCCAGTGAATCGAACACCAAGTCGGCAACAGTGTTGGTGATCTGAACAAATTTCCTGGTGCGTGAATGTTTTCAATGGAATGCTATACCAATTATTAACAGCGGCGATATCACTTGGATCTAAAATGAAAGCAAGTTTCTAGGTTATGAATATTTATGGAAACTAAACTTACATGGCGTTAGAAGATTGTAATCTCGTCCGCTATATAAATCAACCAAAATAAAACCTTAAATTCAATTTATTAGTCGATTTATTATGAATCACACAACTAAAACACAAAAGTACACCACGTTTTAAACGTAAAATAAACGCAAGTCGCCGGTCCAACATGAAGTGAGTCTCAAGAATAATCACACTGAAGTTGTTACTCGCGCGGTTGCCAACTATAGCGCTCGATTGATGCGTGCGGAGTTGCCATTGCGGCAGGAAAAGTTACATCCAAAAAATCAAACCTATACGAACCCGGCATTTTGGAAATAATTCGTTGGTTTTTTAGTAAATAAACCATAAAATTTGTTTCGAAACGCATTACATGTAAATCGTCATATTATATACACATTATTATTAATAAGAGGTGGTCGACAAATTGGTTAACTATTGTAATACAATATAGCCCCAACATTGACTACTCCAATATTGCTTTCCAATGGTAAAACGAAATAGCGCCAATATAGATTACAATACCCCGGCAATATTGCATTTTCGTCTGTATACAATATCGGCATGGCATTGCAAATATTGGCCCTATACTCAAATATTGGGCCAATGTTCCACCAAGTTCTAGCCAATTTGCATTTCCACTAGGGAAGCGTATTGTTATTGGCACGTAAACTAAAGCGACGAGTGGGTATGTTAGCTTTTATATACGCGCTTAGCTCGTCCAACTCGTATGCGCCGTGCGGAATTATGATTTCGTGCGAGACGATGTCACCCTTTTTCCTATAATAAAATTTGTCGTTTCCATAGTGGATATGTCTTATGCTATTACAGCTATAGAAACCTACTACCCCGATTACATATGTTCTTCCCGAAGGAAGTTCGATGGGTGGATAGAAATCATGACTGGCTATATTTCCAATACCCTCTATGCTGAATGTGATCGACATGACTAAGGTCACTAAATAGTCGCACGTGTTATTTATACAGAAACTTTAAACATAGATGCCCGCAATTCGTTGTCCCGAATTCTTGCTCTTGCGTGTAATTATAGTATATTTTACAATTGCTAAAATATTTGATCACTTCTCGTGGCGGTGGAATATTACCGAAGCTATCATAGTACCAAACCCGTTCACCACGTTTCTTATATGAGACCCAATGAGTGCCTGGCCCTCTTTTGCTATCTAAATTAATAACACCGGCTTCATTTTTCCATGACGTTATAGGCATATTATCACGCATAAACACATCCCTAAAGAATGGTACACCCGCTGCATGTTTACGTAAATCTACATCTGTCAACGGTCGGTTTGGCAATTTTTTAATTTTTTTTTTTCAAATGTAACGCTAAACTTCCTCCAGATTTGTATGGCTTCAAGTACATCGCGCCACCACTTTTATTTCCAATAGCGATCGATTCCATCGTGCGGTTATGACGCGAAGTTTCATCCAGCATTTTACGTGCATCACGCGATGCATTAACTGCTTTAGCAATGCCTGCTGCGCCACCTGCCAATGCCCCGACTGCTGAAAGGCCTGCGAATATGGGTATCAGAAATGGTAAAAACCCGCCCTGTTTTGGTATGGGAATAATTCTGGGTACGCTCACATTTCGTCTTCCCCCTAATCTCCTAACAGCCAAATTAGCTGCCGTAGCAGCTGATTTTATTAGGTCCGCGGTATTTCCACTTTTCCTCATTTTCTTAGCAATAGTTCTACGCAAATTTAATAAACTACTTTTCGCCTTCTTCCCCTTAACTCCCATCCCCAACTTTCGTTTCACCTTCATGATGGTGCCGACTGCAAGAGCCGCTGCTCGTTCCTCTAGCTTTGCGTTAGAAGATTTTAGGCGTTCCCAAGCTTTGCGCTCTAAAACGCGGTCTGCCTGATGTCGACTTTCTAAGTTTTGGTTATCCCTGTAGCTGATATCGTGCTCTTTGCACTGAATATCCAGCGGGTTTATGCCCGGATCACCTCGTTTTAATCTTTTATTTAATTTAGTACCAGGTCCGCAGTACTGATATCCAGGAATATGTAGCTCAATTGGAAGTTTGTTTATAAGAGTATTAACCAAGCCGCTCCCACCTGTACTCTTACGCTTCCTAATGAACATTGTGGTACGCAGTGGTGAGTTTGGATATTTATAGGAAACCACTCATCAAATCAAATGAAAATTTTTTAATTATGCATAAACGTTTTTATTGAGGTTGATATATGTGATACATTAAATAAGTTGGTCGATGGTATAAAATTTCCATTATACAAACTGTATTAGTACGTCTTCAATATCACGGTAGATATTATCATCATCGGGATTATCGTCACCAAACTCCATTTTACGAAAGTAGCGGTTAGTTATTCACCTGCTCGATAATATTTTGATAGAAACTGGGCAGCTCGTATGATTCCAATAGCTCCAGTCGATAGTTGATTATATCCTTCAAATTAAACAATTCTTCAATATCGTTCTTATTCATCGTGTAGTACCAATTACCACATTGTACTGTTACACTCTTTAATATTTTCTCGTTATCCTTTACGGACTCCCAGTGATAACAAATCTTGATTTTGCTATTAAGCGATTCCCAATTTTGTTCATACTCAATATCTTCATCTTCCTTAACATTTGACCAATCAATCGATCTTTCAATCTCTTGTGATCTCAAAAACTTCATTTCAAGGTAAGTTTGACACTTTAGAAGCGTCTCCCAATCTTTTCTTTCCATTAATAAAACGTTCCCGCACACTATCCGTAAAATTGGCGAAAGGTGAAGGTGTGTACTATAACCAATTTCTAAGTATTTTGAATTATTTTGACTGTCGAAAAGAGTGTACACAGTACAATCAATTAAACGTTCTTCAATAGCTTTGCTGTGCATTGTTTCAACTGGGGGGAAGGTGTAGAACTATCTCCGTTATCATTACAACACCAACACGTGCATGAGAAATAGTTGCTATTGCAGCTATTTTTAGCAGACATGTATAGATTTTTTAATCGATTCGTGAGAGTGGACCACACTGCGACAATCGCACGACTGAACCAGTGTTGATGAAACACGTCCATTTTATTTAGAAATGAAAGACACTCTTATGTATATCATATTTATTTACAATCATATTTACTTAGTTATTTACATAAATTTTAAATTAGTGGTCTTTCCCGCCATTCCGGTGCTTGTAACAAACACGTCCTTATTTGTTAAAGACTCCTTGAAAAGGTTGAGTCGATCATCTTGTTTGAAGTATTCATAAAATCGTAATGGCAGCACGCATTTGAAATTTTCGGTTTCTAACACTATTCTATCACCATATTTTGTATTTATGGTATCGATGTTAAGAATTTTAAATTTTTCTCCTACTTCCATATCTTTCACATTTTTGAATGCCTTGCAGAATGTTCTGTTGTTTAATGTGTTAAGATCCATGTTAACTGTTTCAATAACACTATCAGACTGATTGAACGCACTTTTGCGGCTGTACCTTATATTTCCAACTGGTGACCTTGAAATCTGCACCGATAGACTTTCGTACGATGATTCACTTCCAATACAGGAGATAGGATTGCATGCATGTGCTCGATCTTCCGCTGGAAACGAACTCTATCGAGTGCTACAGTTTCCCATGGACCTTTCCTGGCCTCCCAATAAGCGAAATGTCATGCTACCATTACATATGTCTTGTTCTGAGATTCAGCAAATTTGACTTTCTTCATTTTCATCGCAGGATGAGGAGGAGAATGAAGAGTCATCAGTTTTTATCCATTCCATTAGCTGGCTGCTAAATTCCTCCAATTTAGCATCCTTCAATTTTCGCATAAGACACGCGTCACATATCTCATACTTTAAATACTCATCACACAACTTCTCACCCACCTCATACCTTTTCGCAATATCATGACACTCTTGTTCACTATATTCGCCGTTTCCATATACAGTTTCATGTTCGGCATCGAATATTAATGCCGAGAACTGCTGTCTAAGGCGTTGAACTGCCGTTTCAAAGTCAGAGGCTTTAACCCACGATTTCTCGGCATATGCTATCCACGACATGTTAAATTTTTTATCTACCTTTTGCTGGTAATTTTACACTTATATAATCCCAGTGCCACCCCCACTACTTTGTAAGTAACTTTTCTGGTGACTTTTGCACTAGGATTGGCATTACTAACGTTTTAGTAACTATTCTGGTGCCTTTTTGCATTAAGATCAGCATTACTACTTTTTAGTAACGTTTCTGGTGACTTTTTGCATTAGGATCGGCATTACTACTTTTTTTAGTAGGTAACTTTTGTTGTAACTGTTTGCGTTAGGATCGGCTTTCTAGGGACTTTTTTGCGTTAAGATCAAGCCTAGTAACTTTTCTGGTGACTTTTTGCATTAGGATCGGCATTACTACCTTTTTAGTAACTTTTCTGGTGACTTTTTGCGTTAGGATCGGCCCTATATAACTACTCTTGTCAATTTCTCTTCGGTCTTCACGTGAATTTATATCGTCAAATCGTAATCATCGAATGAGGAATCGAAATCGATTGTAAGACCTCGTACAATAAATTGCGTCAATTCCAGTGCCATCAGTTCTCGAAACGTCTTTTAGATTTTGTCGTCCCGACTTACACGCACCAAGAAGATAAAACATGCCAAGCTGGAACTAATTTCATCCCTGTCTGGTAGTTTTGCATCTCTTTCACGTTGATAATTTTTATTTATACAAATGTTTGTGCAGTTTGTTATCATTTCAATGATCCTATCGTTTATAAAAATTTGAAAGCATTCAAAAGCACATGACGATCTGAATAATACTAACCAACCCAACCTCTTCGGCAACACATATTCTGGAAGCAGATATTGCAGTAACTTCTTTTCGAGATACTTACGGTATGTAGAAGGCGAGTATATTGTATGTATTTTTGACCCGGATTAATTTATTCTAGTTTCTACCCCCACGTATTGTATAAACTTTTTCTTGATTCATTGAATAGTCCTTCGAATACCATATCTAGTCGAAGTATTTGTAGATTATTTTTGAGGTGCTGCTCCACGCATGCTAGTTACGCTTTTTAATACCACGAGCGTAATTAGCATGAGTGGAGCAGCACCTCAAAAATAATCTACAAATACTTCGACTACTTATAATATGAGTTATTTCAATAAAAACCAACTTAAAAGAATTCTTAACAATGTGAAACTGATATAGTTACATAAAAGACGCAATTCAATCACAAAGACTAAGGTCATCAGATATTGCTGTTTTGTGGTTTGCTTTCACCACATAAGTTATCGGCAAGTCTTTCGAGTATATTTAGAAAGCGATCTTGCCGCTCCATCTTTTTCCTGTGTCTTCGTTCCAAACTATATTTCGTTTTTCTTTTTTGTTTTACTGGTATATGGAGATGGTGTACTACGCACCGATATTGGGATGGAACACCGTGATTTTCTGTAACTTTACAAACACATTTTATTTTTGTTTTCTTTATCCTCCTACCCTTTTCTTTTTCTGTGGTGAAGTTGTCGCTGCCAATTGAGATCCTTCAGTGTTACTTGTTGAAACACCAACATCGAGTGGG